ATTAACTACGAGTATCCGAATTCCGAATGTATTTTTAAAAGAAAACTATGTTAAACATCAAATAAACACATGATATCACCAAAAAAGTTATCTAATCTTTATTTTACCTAAACTTTACTAGTTATACGATTCCTGGATAATATATGTATAATACCATAAACCCATCATTCAATAAATATTAGAAAAAACATAAATTGTCACTAAACTAACAGTAGAGAATTATTGATAAAAAAAATGTGATTAATGTGACGACTAGCGCTGTCAGCTCAAAGTTACATCGAACACAGCAGGAGAGGGTGTCGATATCTACCCTAAATACTCATCAAAATTTATTTTCAATTTATCCTTCATCCATCTCTAATATTATTAATCGATTTGTTTTAATAAATATCTTTGTACATTTTATCACACAGCGCCATCTAGTCTTAAACTAAGCAGAACATGTTCTTTTTTAATGGGTGATAATGGAATAGTGCCCCCGCCTGACCTATCGATATATCTGGCGGGGCACTAATAAGAGACGATTGGTGAGGATGTAACAAGTCAGTTGGCCCATAGTGACGAATTTATTAAGAATTAATCAAGGTGATTTCCAAGGCGAACCGCATGGAAGTCGATCTGATAGAGTATATTGCTAGAAATTAGTCTATTAGATTCACTTTACTAACAATCGCTCTCCCCCCTCTCCTAGAATATGTACTATGGCTACTAGTCGTACTGGATAACTGATGAGTAACTAATTACTTTTTAAAATACCTATTTTTTATATGAAAAAAAAAGCAACGGATAAATAAAAACAGTCAAATTCATCAATACATTTATTTATATTATGCGGCGGACGATTGAATATGTAACCCTCAAAGGGGCGAGGCAGTTTATATTGTGGTACAGTAGTGCAGCGGTAAACCGCAACATCGCCAAAATCGTCACTACAAAATATGAGAATGAAATCATATTTTCCGAGTACTTGACTTTTTGTTGAAAAATAAACTATAATATCATATTTATTAACCAACATACAATTAGATTTAATTACATATAATTTAATGACATATAAATGTCAGATAATAATATTTCCCAAATATTTCAACTCACGTTCACAAAATAATAAGTAATATTATTTTGCAAAACCAAATGTATCATTCTTGTTTATAAATTAATTTGGAAGAAATATAAGCAGAATATATTATAGCGGTATTTTGCTGTCAAGTAGCTCTCATCCCGTCTATCCCAAAGGAGTATATAAGTACCTTAGAAATGGCCTCTCTCCCTTTAGGATAATCTAAAGCCCACTTTACCCTATCATGCACTGTTGATTTTGGAATGGCATGTAAACTGGCAGATTATGTTTATATTAACGTACATTCGTAATGACTAGAATAATCTGGCAAATGTAATAAATTTGGTTGTATAGCGCGCAATGGATAAAGTACATAGGAGAAAATATATTACTGAACTAGGTGTTATCTTACGGAAGTCTATATCACTGGTTATTGGATTAGAATTATTTTGCTTAATTCCGCTACCATTAGTATGTATGCGATCACAAACTAATCCAAGTAAACCGAAATCCAGCAATACACTTGAGCGAGGGCTTCAAATGTATTGCATAGAGGAACCGATTCTTACAGCACTATATGGGTATCACATATAAATGTTATAAGTATACTGATATTAACAAATTCGTAAACGATCTAACAATATATTTTTATAGTAAACAATATAAAAATTTTCAGAATATTATGACTTTATTATTATTACATTACGCATAGGAGTATATATATGTGTTCGATCTATGATCTCACCATATACCTACGTAGGCTACGTAATATCAAAATTACAGACGTGTTAATGACAGAAATGACTATACCTAGTAAATAAAAACATTCTTATGCTTATCTCAAAGAAAGATGAAATTACATAAAATACTAACCCGGCAAACGTCAATTTACCCTTACAACTAATGGCGATACCGGTTTTTGTTCTAGGCTAAAAAAATTAATTGACTGCATACAATAACTATCCTATAAAAACCTTTATTAGCGTTTTGCTACTACGGATATGTTTCTATTAGTAAAGCCTATTAACATGCTGCCTAGGTAGCTTAGTAGATAATTTTCCCTTTCTTCATTCATTTGATGCATGTATACAAAATTTCGTTTTTATATTTATTTTCAGTATCCTTGTCTCTCCTGCTTTTCAAAGAATTGCAGTTATATCCCTAAAACCATTTATCTAACGTTGGGATGTGGGCATGAGATAAATTGTGTTATTTTTCTATGTCTTAAAGTATGAAAAATGAGAAAGACTATACACTGCGTTCTTAAATATTATTTATTATTTCGTTTGTGTCAAACTTTTGAAGTAAACTTTAAACATCGCAACAACGTCTATATATTTCAATTTCTACTTAGACAAATTATGTAAGTTATACCTACTGCCACTTACAAAACATTTCACCATGTTCCAAGTTTCATGGAATTACTTAGCCACGAACTGAACAGAAACACAACAAACACACATTTGTTCGCCTCAGGCTCGCTAACAACAAACAGGGACAAAGGAAATGGATAGAGAAACAGGATAAATAATGGTCGAGAACGCCGCCAACGTACTCGCAGATAAAGGAAAATCATTTATGAAATAAAACTTTGAATAAATTAGACATGCCCTACGCCGATTAGCTGCCTACAGCAATATAAAGCTATTAACAACGTTTTCTTCTCCCGTAAAGTTGTCTAGTTTCCTTTCTATATCTGAAACTTCTTGTAACTAATAAACCTATCTCTATATCATATTTTTTAATATATTGACTTAGACTTTTTAAACAATTTCAACAAAAATATATTTTGCAACTTCTATAAACATATCTGCAATGTTTAGTCTCACCCACCTTATCATCATCGTCATTACAGCAATTAATTGTCCACTGTTAAGCACAGGTTTTCTTTCATAAAATGCGGTAAGACACGATCTTCAGCCAACTGTATCTACTATAACAAATTTGAGATCATCGCTTCATCTAGTGTGATGTGCTGATACACTGTATTTGCTTGTATTATATTAACCGATATTACAACCTATATACGAGTACTTCTCTAAAGCAATTGGAGTGGTTCAATCACCAAGAAGTAGTAAATAAACTCACAATCACATTTATTTATTATATCAAATAAGATAACAATGTACGTTTCCAATTTCCTGAAAAGCTACTAAATTTGTGGTTTATTTCTTGTTTAATATATACAAGAAAACAATATCAAATCCACCAAGCGAAAACTTAATTCTAGGAAAAGCAAAGGTCAGAATACGTGATCAATAAAATATGAGAGGCTGAAAAGTTGTTTTTATATTTCAATTCATTTCGCTTGAAAAATATTATTCAATTTCATTAACATCATTACTAGGTATCGATAATTTTTAGATTATGCTCTTTCACACTCTACCTATTATGTATGTCATACTAATACACATGCAGCATCCCGCAACTTTGCCCGTACTAATTATTATATAATGTATCTTACCTAAGTGTTAAGTTAGGATAAGATCAATCTAAATGTGTATAAAATTTCATTTTTATTATGAGGATAAAAAGATGTATGATAAGGACAAATAATATTTTCTTTAGACAAATTGATTTTATACAATCAGCTTTAAAGAAAATTTCCCATATTAATTTTTATTTTCCAACATTACATCCGAAACTTCAATCAAATCTTTGTTTTAGTTAAAAATGTAATCGATTAAATATTTTGCCCTGATTTCATGATATTGTTTTTTTCTTAGTTTTTCTCTTAAATCCACGTAGACAAGTATTTTTATATCAACTTTCATCTCTTATTTAACACAACTATGGAATTCATTTTAAGAAATACTAAAATTAAGTTTTGTTATAAAATTTTTGTATAAAAGATATATATTTAATTTCAAGTAAATCAATTAAAAATTACCTTTCTCATAGAAATACCCACCTACTATTTTTACATACTTTAGAGGCTAATTTTCGAAATATCTACTGTCTAAATTTGGTATTTCTAACTTTAGTAGTTTAGCCTGTACATTGATTAGTTAGTCAGTCAGTCAGGTCAATTCGAGTTTGAATTTTGTTAGAAAAATTAAATTTTACTATTTTTGTTTAAGAGTATTTATAGTAAATTTCAAATACGAGTATTTATCGGTGAAAAATTTCTGTACATACATCCATCCTTATATTTACAGTCTTAGTGGTCAAATTTCAAAAATTTTTGTTATTATTTATATTGGCCATAAAAGAAACCTACTGTAAAAATTTTGTAATTCTAATTTTACTAGTTTAGGCTGTAGATTGATGAGTAAGTCAATCAAGACAACACTTTATAGTATAAATATCGAGGTGCAAGTTTTATATAAGACATCTTTTCCCATATTAGTACCATAAACATTTTAATCAATAAATATTCCGGGAGTTTTTAAATAATTTGTTAAATTAGGTACTTTTATAATTAATAAACAAAAAATACGGTATTTATAATCCCTTGCATACGTTGTTCGTTCTGCGCCGGCCTTTTTTTAATTTTTTTTATACAACCTAAAATGGCAAAAAAACTGACGGCCCACCTGATGGAAAATAGTAACCGTTGCCTTTGTTATTGTTACCAATTAACTTGTTATTAGATTAGTTATTTCCTGCAGTTTTGTTCTTTAGTATATATAAAGTTAGGATATAATTTAAATGTCATTTAAATTTATTCAACCGTTTAAGCATGGTTTAGTAACAATACACAAACATATAAACATCTTTACAACCTTCATATGTATAATATTAATATAATTTTGTATTCATTAAGCACAAAATTCCTTTCTATTATTATTTTAGAAATCAAACTTATCAGTCACATATAATGTTTTCATTTATTTTTTATATAAACAAAGTTTCGAATAGTAAATAAAAATATTTCGAAACTACAAAAAATAAATTATTGTTACATAACTATAATTAATAATAAAAATTATTACCACAGGCTGGTATGAGGATAACTGGTTCGAGACGAATTTGGAACGAGAAGGGATCGAATGTACCGTGGAACAGATGCGAGAGGCAGCAGAAGGTCATCTGACAACAGAAGCCCTTATGTGGAACCAGAATGCTAACCAGACCACTATTTCTGGAATGACGTCAGAAGACTTTCGGTAAGTACAGATAATATATTTAATTAAGTCAACAAATAAGAGTTATACTCACAACGAAAGCCTTCGTATCTTTAATTAAAAATAACAAATTCTTTTGTCTCGTATTTATTATGAGAGCAAAGCGACCAAACTATTCCTTATAAAGAATATTACATACAGACACTGAAGACTAGTCTATGTGTTTAAGTAAAATATAGAAACATAATGCTATGCTTACATTCATTTAAAATAATGTTTATTGTTGACCCTATAGTTGTTATGCTGTTCAAAAGCCATTTTTCTCTCTTTCTCTAAAAACATTTATTTCCAAACTTAAACATTAAAATTTTAATTAGATTACAGATGCTCAAGTAATATATATATATATATGGCTCCAAGCTTAATATAAAAGATTTCAATTATTATATAAATCTGAATAAAAATGCATGAGACTATTAACCGATATAGATATGTGATATATTGACCTAATATTATGCCGATAAAAATTCATATTTATAATATCTACTATAATTCTTAATCAACTATTACCTACATGAAGTATATTAAAACGTTATTAATATAAACGTCCTTTAAAAATTTTGAGAAAAAATGAAGTTTAAAAAGAAACGGTTACACTCGTTAACACTATAATAATATTATTACAAACAGTAAACTACGAGCAATTCAATCCGCAGACAAATCATTTCTTTTGTATTCTGCGAAAAACAGTCCAAAGACATTTATAAGGTGCAACCCTAAATAAAAGCTCTTTTGACAACTTTTACGCGATGGAACATAATATTCCATTCTTTGGACGTACAACACTTTGAGTTGAAAATGCCTAGAGATGTGCGCTATCGCTATTCGAAACGGGACTTTATTGTTATCTGTGTCTTCGTGAAGGAATTTCGGATATCCTTTGTGCGGTAAAGATAATAAATGTTTCGGAGAATATTGATGAAGTAATCTACAAACTCTGATTGCTCGTCACAAAAGCTAAGGATTGCAAAAAGAAAGTTAAAATAATGCTAGCTAAAAAAGGAAATGAATGACATAGAAATTGAAATTTTACTTTTGCATTCCACGATGAATGAGAGGTTTTGTAATTTCACAGTAGTGGTTGTCTCTAATATGGAAACATATTCTCCATATCGAGTCAGAATATTAATTCTCTTATTGTGAATTAACTTAGTAAAAGATTATATGCGTGAAATAACAATAACTGCATTAATTATTTAATTAATTGATGTACGGTGATAATTACGTATTGTGTAATATTAATATTCTAATTTTGATATTGTATAAAACTGATTACATTTCTGTTCATATTTTAGAATTTGTTTAAATTGTCATACAACAAAAATACACATTTATTGTTTAATTAAAATCATATTCGTCACTATTCGTTTTTGTCTTACTACTATTCCTTAATCTGTGAAGGATATTGAGACAATAACCAATAACCTCAACGTTGGCACAATGTGACGTGAATTTTACTCAACTAGATAAAAATATATGTAATAGCTTACTATTGCCAGATACAGACACATAGCAGTAATAAGAATAACATAGTCAAATTAAAGTGTTTCGCATTATAGAAATATTAGTGACATTAGTTGACTCTGTAACAAAACAGAACTCGAATCCGTAACCCTTTGTAATATGTAATAGAAGCATTCAAAATTTGACTGATAATTATAATAACTTCCATAATAAAACGAGGTATGAATTCTATCCAAAATTTACGTTTTCAATATAAAATATATATTGCAAGCAACTACTGTAACTTAAGAGCTTTTATTACCGTCAATTATTAAAAACAACTTAACAATTTGCAATATTTCTCAATTCTGCAACTACACACATCAACATCGTCTAGGGATATTTTAAATTTTCTCAATTTACTAAAATAAAAATATAAATAACATGCAACATGTATATATTTTTGAAAAGCCCATTTAACAGACTACACTTTAAAATAAAGCCATAATTTCTGCATAATTTAAGTTTTATTTAAGTAAAGACAAAAAAATGGAAAAATAGTAAAATTAAAGATGAATGTTTTTTATAAGAAAAAAAAAATAAAGCAAAGTATTCAAGTTTTTTAAAATAATACAAAAACTAGAAGTCAGTAAAGCCCGTAACATCACCTCTCTTGTTAAAAGGCGCCGCTGCATAATGAAAACAGTCGCATAAATTACGAATCAATCACTAACTTGCTTTAAAACATTAATTTGACAAAAAAGATTTCCAAAAACTGTGATAGGTAAATTGAAACATTCAAATTTCACCTTAGTAATGACGCACAGATCAATTGTTTTTAATTATTTTTTCAAATTCAAATTTAGAATCGTTACAAAAGACCTATAAAATATTTTCAAAAAAAATAAAAACAGCCAGTATTTTTATAATTTAAGAACTTTATACGAAATATCCCTAGATGCTGTTGAGGTGTGTACTTCATATTTTCCTTTGAATTTTTCAGATAAATTTTTGCTATCAAAAAATATCAATGTAATCAGCATGATAAGCGTCTTAGTTCACGAACCAAAACATTAATTGGAACCGTTGATATTTTTTTTTTAATTATAGTTCTATTGAAATTTTAATTTAATTATTTCGCAAATAACAAATTTGGAAAAGCAACTGTATAAGTTTTATTGATTATTTAAAAATTGTTAAATTATTTTTAATAATTGGCAGATAATTGTAACGTTGATACATTTTGATAAGCTAAAATAATAAATGCTCTGAATAAAAAGATTTATTGTATTAAACAAAGACTGCCTTGACTAGCAATAAAGTCTTTTCATTTATAAGAATTAATTATAGGATTTGTAGCCTGCTGTATTTATACAATGCATTTTTTAAATATAAATATTAATAATCATAGCAACAACAATATCCAAGCAGATCATAAAATTATCCCAGAAAATATTACGTCTGTTATCAACCCACGTTACGAGATTGTTCATTTTAATGAGAAACATGAACCAAAACCATTAGCGTAGAGTAGCACGGGTTATGTCTCTACGAAGACACTGGTAAACAGTTTTTAAGATAATAAACATTCCAAGAGAAGTAAATACTTTGAAAATGATAGTCCGTAGGAAATAAACTAAGAGAGAATAACAATTTGTTCTGTAAATAGATCAAGACTGAATGAAGCTCTTCGTGAGGCCGGTTACGACATTGACGGCGAAAGATTCCCTGAAGGATATCAAGAAGCGCCTTTAGCCTATGACGCTGTTTGGGCTGTCGCCTTGGGTGAGTTTGTAACTAAATTGTGCTATAAATAAGTATTATAATAAAAGTCTAATATAATATTTTTCCAAAATACTTATTCTAATATTCAAATATATTTACAGAATATTAAACAACACGAAAATTTTATAAACTTATATATATACATATATATATATATATATATATATATATATATATATATATATATATATATATATATATATATATATATATATATATATATATATATATATATATATATATATATAAAATATTAGCTAATTATTTACAGTTTAATATACTCTACATGTGCTGTAATAGAAATAATCCGAAAGGATAATCAATTACTTTAACTGTAGGTACAAGGCGATATCGAAATTATTATGTACTTCGGTACATAACATAATAATTAAAAATTGTGTCCCCAAAAAAAAGCAACTTCATTTGTGACAAAACTAGTTATTTAAAAATTAAACTGCAGATCCGATTTTAATAATTTCTATGAAAGAATATTTAAGTATATCCTTTCAAATAAAAATAATTTTCTAAATCTGTTTATAACTGATGAAATTATGAGATAACCAACATAAAAAAAATCTACGAACTGAACCTCCTTGTTTTTGAAGTTGTTTGATAAAGAGCGTATTAGGGCTGAAATTTTTGTAAGTCAGAAACTAAAATAACAAATAATTTTTTAGTCTTCCATACTAACTCAGCATCGTGATAGTTTAGAAGGTTCAAAAATTTTTCAATATTTTTCATACCATATTTCTTTGGATGATTGATTTGAGATTCCCTTCAAAGTATGCTGATGATTTTGATTTCACTCTGTGTATTAAATTGCAAATATTCATAGATCAACTAATTAGTATTACTTATAGGAACTAATTCGCCACAGCTTGTTTATTCGCAATTACTTTGTGGCGTCCAACAGAGTTTCTCTAGAACTGCTTGAGATAGTTTGTCCGAGACCAGATGTGTGGTTGGAATTGTTAGTTCTGCATACAAAGGAATTGCATTAGAAGCCAATTTAGACTCCCGCTGTGTATAGAAAATGTTATTTTCCTTTTCTCTGAAGTTAAATTGAGTTAGTTTAAGGCATAACTTTCAGACTTTTTTAATATATCTACTACTAATTTATTTTTAATATTGTAGCGTTTAATAAGACTATGGAGAAACTAGAAAAAAATGGCTTAAGTCTCAAAAATTTTACTTATACGAACAAGAAAATAGCTGACGACATCTACGAGGCAATAAATTCAACGTCATTTCTTGGTGTATCGGTAAGTGCCTCCGACTACTTTACGCTTTATGATCCTATACTACTTGCGCCAACATTAAAGCATTTTTTTTATTATTCTACTAAATATATTCCGCGGCTTTTACCGGCATATTAATCTAGTGTTGGTATCATTGTGCCAATTTTCAAATCCATTCAAAAGATTAATTATATAGAATATTATACCTACGCTGTCTGGTATTTTAACTACCGTTAAACTTAATTATATCACTATAATTGAGCAAATATATTAAGTATTCCCTTTAGGTTTTAAGATCCTACCAAAGACACTTTTTCGTTGAATATTCATAACTAAATTCTTTATATAACGAGTACAAGGATTGGTAACCATTACAAGTAATCCCTAATTCCATTAACATTATATACTTTAAATACTTAACTTGAAATACTTAATCATCTCGTTTCCTATATAAATTCTATTAAAGATATATCAATATATAACAAATTATTTATTATTCACTTTCACATTGACTGTAATTTAAAATTATACTCCTTAAAAAAAAGCACCGACTTCAATCCAGACAAAACTATTTTACTTTGATTTAAAAACTATTGAATCGAATTTATTAAAATGGGTCATTTGAAAGTATATCCTTTCAGATAAAAAATAAAAGTATGTTATAACAAATATAAAAAATACAATTGGATTGGTAACATCATCTTTTTTAAATCGGTTGAAAAAGATTGTAAGCATACAAAACGTATAAATCCGAAAATTGTATATTCATTATTTGACATAAAACCGTATAATAAAATAATAAAACGCCTACGAAAGTAATAAAAGAACGAGTGTCTATATCGACCGCAAATAAAATTTCCAAAATGCACAATATGAACTGGGATTACGAATATTTCTCACTAACTTTGAATTTGATATCAAAATACAAAATTCATAAGGGCATTTTTGTATGGGGTCTCACTACTGGCAGCGGGCATGAAAAATTCATAAACCTGCTTTTCTACGACTGAGATCTCGCACCTGTTTTTGTAAGTTCAGTTCATTACAAAATTCTCGTAGTAGATAGAGACAGGCGAAATGACTTTTTTACGATATTGTGAATGGAAAACTCACTTTGATTCTAGATAGAATCCATTATTAAATTTGCTCAACAATCGAAACGATAATCGTCGAACTTAGCTCTTGGAAGTTTCCTTCTTTAATATGCTTGAAGATTTTCAACATTCTTGTCATCAGGTTTCATAAGTTTAATTTAACTACACTAGCTGTATTTTATAAAAATGCACACTTAAAACAGTATTCATTATTGTTTAAAGCGTAAGTTTATATTAAAGACTGTTTGAGAACTCGTATGTGTTTGTAAAATTATAAACAGGTCTTTTAAGATCGTAAACCCAAATAGGGTAGTCAGAAACATTTTTCGACCATAACCGATTCAAATGCGGCAAAATCAATTCTATCGCTAAAAATAAAATAGTTTATTAACACATATATTACATTACACGAATATTTACCACAACAGTAGCAATATGCAAAAAAAATTTAAAATATATTATAATAAATACGCATATTTTCGGTGTCAATATTGAGCTTGTGCCAGAACTTGTGGATGCAGAAAATCATCATCGCTATTGTCCTTCTCTCTTGTTTCCATTAATTAAATATTTATTCAATCAATTTGCCTGTCACTTTCTTCATTTATATACTCGTACAAGTATATAAATATAGTATATTAATGTCAGAAGTAACTGTAAATAGTATAAAACGCGGAAAATAAATTATATAATAATACGGAGACATAAGTGGTTTACTTGCAACATTAATCACAAACATTCCTCCTCAGGGTCTTGTCGCATTCTCGTCTCAAGGCGACAGGATAGCGTTAACTCAGATAGAACAACTGACTGACAACCATTATGTAAAACTCGGGTACTACGACACTCAAGCTGATAACCTCACATGGCTGGACAGAGAACGATGGGTTGGTATGTATAAAAAGAAAATTAATAATTAATTTAATCCACCCAAGTAATTATAAAGGAGTCATTATGACATAATGATAATCTTGTAGATAGGAGGGGCACCAAACGAGGCCGGACGTCTATCTAAAACTGTCACCTTTTTGCTGGTGACGTTAACGGATTTTTAGCACACTCATCGTTGTTTTTCTCTTTTTATACCCGTGATGAATAATCCGGTTATTAATTATAGCAGATTAAATATGAATAATTCACTTTTTTTTATATTTTAAGTATTTTTTTTAATTAAAAACAGTAAACTAAAAAAAAATTAAAATAATAACTTGTAAATTAGGTTAACATTGTACTGTATCAACATCGTTTTCTATCTTTTTTATATGTATAAGATATAAATAAATAAAAGTCTAAATAACTAAAACCTTAATTTTTTCAAATGTTTTCTGTCACTTATGTTAGGTTTTGTACCCTTTACATTATAATTGCATTTTCGCATGCTTATAATCTAATCTAAAGTTTCATCTGCTCATTTACTTAACTCGTGCTATTTTTTTCTTTTTTCAAAGCAAATTAGTAGTATAATATAATGTAAACATTTTTACTTACATACTAATAAATAGATGAGATATGAAAGATTTATATACAAGTATATAACTTTATAACTTATGTAGTCCAATTATTCCAGTAGCATTTTGCCAGCTAAGGGCTGTGTTAGCAAAATATGGGGATGAGAGACCCCTGAAATCTTCCTATATCGAGCATTCACTTCTATCACACACTTGGGGAATGTGTCCAATATCCTATGTAAATATTTACTTACAATTATTTGAAGACCTTTGCAAATAAATAAATTCAAACATATAAATATTGATATATATCATGTGTCACGATTTTAATCTTATAACATTAATTTTGTTACTACAAATATGGTAGTTTGATGATGTAAAGATTTTTGATTCAAACACGTATTTATTTTACAAAGGGTAATAATTATATTTTAGTAATTTGTACTTAATTCAATACGAGTATATTATATAGTAAATTAGAAATATATAAACGATCAGTTTTCATACATTATTATCAAACATATTTACGAATAGACAAATTAAAATCGGATACATAACAACTATCTTGTATCTATCATCTCGAAAAAGATCAATTTTTTAAACAAATGGCCACAAAAATCAATGAACGAAATTAATATTACCATCATTAATGATATGTATACGGTGTTATTTACATTTTCTAATGAGGTTACTGTTATATCTAATACTCTTGTTCTGTACATGATATGTAATATCATTAATAATTTAACGTTAGGTTCTATAAAGTGAATTTGAAATCATTAGACTTTTACGGGTATGTTCTACTACTAGTGAGGCTAACAGATTTTCTCAAAGAAATACAGACCCCGGTTTATTTTTTCTTTAAAAATAAAATGTTCAGTTTTATTCATAGAACATACCCTTAAAAGGGTGCAAATGCTTTCAGTTTCACGTAGTACATTTGCTAATTTAAAATTATTCTTAAATATTACTTAGATAATATCCTTTGTAGCATGGCACAATATTAAATTATATATACTTTTTATTACTCGTCATAATACTTCAATCATATATGATATTTTACGACGTTTTTACGAGTACGATTATATTGTGATATTTTAGTGGGGCGTGAAATAAGAAATCTTGTTTTTGGCAGGTGGAAAAGTGCCTCCGGATAGAACTGTTGTAGTAAACGAGCTGCGAACAGTCTCCCTGCCTTTGTTTGCTTGTATGACTGCATTATGTATTGCTGGCATCTTGGCGGCAATTGGACTGATTGTTTTCAACATCATGCATAGGCACAGAAGGTAAAAAATATTTATATTATGTGTTTTTTTTTCAATGGATGATAATGGAATAGCAACCCCGTCTGCGCTAACGGTGTATGCTGGCGGGACACCAATGAGGGGTGATAAGTGAGGATGAAAGGACAGATCAGTAAACCCATCGTGATAAATGCACTTGGAATTTAGCACGATGGTTTCCAGGGGGGACCACGTGGAGGATATATTGCTAGCAATGGGATTGATAGTCCGCAATACTAACAATCCCTTTTTCAAACACGTTCAAAATATTATGTGTAGATAAAACTTCAATAGTTAAATATTTTGATTTTAATCATCAATTATTTATAAGCTCCTACTGTATTACAGCTATTATTTAACTATAATTAATTATTCGAGTACATAATCAGAATGAAAGAAGCAAAACTTTGTAGATGTTAAAGTCGAAAATGTAAATTATCTTAATTAATTTCGTCTGTAAATGCTGAGGTTGTTTGACAGAAAGCATGACGCTCGAATATTAATTACTTAAAGATGTATCGAGGAAAAGAAATATATATTTTGTTCAGTATTCAACAGATAATAATAACACAACGATAAATCAATTATTCATAGTGAGGCCTTCATTTCAAAGGTGTAATAATTAATTAAACTCCACAGGGAATTTCCACTTAATTAAGTCGATTCCTTTATAATAGTAGCACAGAACGGGAGAAACGCTCGTTTTCAAGTACACAATTTATAGAGAGAACTATTATATTAATTAAAAAAAATTGGTGTAATTTTATATGAGCTAATATCAATATATACATGTGTACTTAGTCCTATAACTTTTATATACTTACTCGTATATAATATAACAGGTTTACCCTATAAAAATCTGCAGACATCAATTTACTCCTTTTTATTAGGCATCACTTCATGGATAATTGGGACAGTTAGCCTAGACTAATATTATGTAAGCTCAATTATTTCTAAGGTTATTCAATATTAGTCTAGCCAGTCTGTTCGAATTTAATTTAGTTTCTGAGAACTAAGGCAAGTGAAAAACGGTTGTTTACAAAAAAAAGTGCAAATAAGTTTACGCTTTAGTTTTACGAAATAAAATAGGGTTTATTTTTTTACAGTCAGACAACAGAATCAGCGTATCACCCACGTTAAACAGATGTTGGACGTGCTGTCTCATTGTTTTCAGATTCTGTTTTTAATTAAAAACTAAATAAACACTCATTTTGACCTTACGAGAATAATAATGAATTAGAATTCGATGTGTCACCGCTCTTTTCTATCCCCAAGGATTAAGTTGATTGGGAGAATAATCACGAAATATACACTCCAGTCACTGTGATACAAGTATAATCTTTACTGATATTATAAATTGGAAAATGAGTTTCTTTGTTTGTTACTTCTTAACGACTTAATAGCTTAAACAATCACTATGCAATTTTGTATATCGATACTACTATATGAACTGGAGAAGGACATTGGCTATTAATATAATTTTAATCCTAATCAATAAACATAACCAGGTCACACAGATCTTTATCTAGTTAAAAACCAGTATTTAATAGAAAAATCTTTGTCTTTTCAATTTGATATGAAAATCTAAAATTATAATATTATAAAATAAAAGTTGGTCTGATAAGTCTCTAATATCAAGATTAATAGATTTAAAAAACGCGCCTATTTAAGTTTTTTTTAATAAGCCTATTCTTTTGAAAGTGTTTAGGAAGACATTCTGTCTAATAAAATATTGATCTAAAATAAAACCGTATAGCAAACTGCTTAGTTTTATGGGAAGTGACCTAAGTCCACCTTGTGAGTAAAAATTAATTTTTGCTTCCAGGCTCTCAGAAAACAAATTAAAATGTACTACTCTAAAATTATAATCTATTCTCACATTTCTTCTTGAGCCACATATTTATAAACCGGTCAACCGCCAAAAACTCATAACTAACATTGACTAAATTTTATAGAAATCACGGAAAACATCCAACTTCTTAAATTACACCAATTAATTATGATGAAACCAAAAAGTTAATTAATTATTTTTAATATCACTTATCAATATACCAAGGTAAAATTTCTCTATACAACATAAAAATATTTCCTTTTATATTGTAATTATTTTAAATATAAATGTTTTATAAATGTTAATTAGAAAATATTGGTGGTTTACCATCAATAAGTTACCTACAGATAAAATGAACGTTGATAGTAAGAATGCGACCAACCACTACAATATATATCTTCGATATTACGCATCAAAGGACTAAAACAATTATGTAATATAATTACTAGGTATCATTACCTACTTACACGCAATGGTATATCTGTTGGTTCGACATAGAACAAATTTGTTCAATTAACATCTGCTTTTGAACTGTTATGAACTATTCAGTTATTAATTAAATTGACACAAGGCATCTTCTATATAATTTCGTAGTTTGAACTCTATTAACAGTTAGTTGTCAAGCGTTGTTTACATGAAAATTGTGACGACGTCATTCCCTATGCCATAGACATAAATTATATTATATATTATAAATAAATAGATATCACAGGTACTATACTTAATCTATTGTATCTAAGTGTAACAAACAAACTCACTCTTAATACATGTAAAATTTAAATTTAACTTCACACGTCGATATGTTTCAAAGTTGACTGTCGTCACTTGAAGAATATAGGTAATAAAGTACAAACCATAACATTTTGTAACTTTATATGATATTAAATGTTACATTTCTGAAAAGATATATCTCTGAACATTGAAAATGAAGAGATTTCACACACACACACACACACACACACACACACACACACACACACACACATATATACATACATATATATATATATATATATATATATATATACTTAGACAAAGTATTTATATGTATATGTGTGTATGCGTGCATTCGTGTGTATATAAGTGTGTGTGTTTGTACAACATAATACTAAAATATACATAAATATAAATCTTATATTACAAATTTAATATTTTCGTGAATTTTATTTGCAACTTATATAATAAATTGTGTTGTGTATATTTTTAATAGGGTTATACAATGGTCACACCCAGCATGCAACACGGTGATGTTATGTGGGTGTTGCATATGTTTGAGTGCAGCGGTGGCTTTGGGAGTAGATGGTCGCTGGGTGCAGCCCCAACATTTCTCTGGCCTCTGCGCTGCAAGAGCGTGGTTACTAGCAACTGGTTTCTCCATGGCGTATGGTGCTCTATTTACCAAAGTTTGGCGAGTACACAGACATACCACAAAACCGAAAGTTGAAACAAAGGTACAGTCAATAATATATAATAAATACTCTACAGACAAAGTCGACTCAAAGTAATAAAGAGTTTCTTCGTTTTACCTTGACTGATATCTTATTTGTTGTATATGAAATTACTTACTCTTTGAAATTATTTCTTAAGTGCTAACCAGATGTTTGTATGTTCAAAAGAAGTTGTTAAAGTTCCCAACTGTCCTTTTTTTTATTTAAATAATACCATAAATAGTAAAGCAAACAAAAAAGCCCAAGACTCCCAAAACTGTGCGAAATTTAAATTATAAAACTTAAATTACTACCATAGAACATAATTTGAGCGGAGTCAAATACTTGGCATAAAAAATAAACTACATGATTACATCTCCTCTACTCAAAGGATGTCTGGAAGAGATTGCTTTAGCGATTAAACCGCCTTTTGCACTCCTAAGTGTTATATATATTTATCTTTGTATTATTCTTTAAGTAGTGCTATAAAGAGTAAATAAATAAATTAATTATTATACATCATATATTTAAAAAAAAATTAAGAATATTTTTACAACAGCTTGATTATAAACCTTTACACGTCATGTCTTATTTTTTTATGGCGTTTTTCTATATATCGATGGCTTAGTAGTTATATTTTGTTTACTGTAGCTTGCAATTACATTTTACAAATAATTTATATGAGTTTAACTTTCTTAGAAACGCATGCACGGTTGGAAACTGTATACAATGGTGGGCGGGCTTCTGGTGGTGGACGCTGCGTTACTAACCGCGTGGCAGCTACGAGACCCGCTCCAGCGGCGAGTCGAAATATTCCCTTTAGAAGCGCCGCGACATCACGACGATGACGTCCACATACGGCCAGAATTAGAACACTGCGAGAGCGAACACAACACCGTGTGGCTAGGTTTGTTACTATTACTCATATTAAACATATATAGCTATTTATGAAACCATTTCGCAATTTAAACTAAGATTTATCCCTCAAACTAGTATCACAGTATAAAAAACTTTAACTATATTAGTGAGCTAGTGACTTATCAGTAGGTGTCGCAAATAAAATGCTACGTACAATATATTGGGGATAGTACATATATATACCTATATTGACATAGTTGTCTTGTACCAAAAACAACAAATTCTTCTTATAAAACTTCATACTTTATTGGTACAGTATTAAATAGAATATGATATGATATCGATCTGTTCCTCATCGCCCTAAACCTTACAGGGTAGACAGAGAGAACCGAATACCAAAAACCTTTATTTCTTGCTCATCCATTTTCGTAACTCCTCTTGTTTGGAAGTTATGGAAACTCTTGACCTAAATAATCCATCTGATCGTTATATGTCAATACCATAATAACTATATTCTTCCTGTTTCATGTTGTATTCTTTAATGTACATGATTATCGAGTGTTTAAATAAAGAAACCAATATACCACGATACGAAAGTTAAAAAATTCGGCTACCAGAGTAAGCCCAGAATAAATAGATAGAGAACCCTATAATTACTAGATAAATCGTAATGCTATCTCAGGGAAAATCTCCAAAATTATATTTCACAATTAATATACCAGCGTCTAATATTAAGTATGCCTAATATTAAATAGACATTCTGTTCAATACTAATTCTTACTTAACCTTATTCAATTTGACGGATTATTAGAATATCTTCTAAAATCTACCTATACAAATAAGAAACAAGAGCAACTGTTATGAAGGATGAGCTTTAATATGAGGTAATTTAAAGTCCCATAAACAATAAATTACATTTTACAAATCTCTCTCTACAGAGTCCACAGCGACTCATTTGCGTCCATAAAGTTGTGGAACGGAATTTTAAAAAGTTCTATAACATCGTTAATGGCAGCTGCTTTTTTTCATTATGTCGTTTGACGTTAATTTCGATTTTTGTTGTAGGTGTTATGTACGGATATAAGGGGCTTGTGTTGGTATTTGGTTTGTTCCTGGCATACGAGACACGATCAGTGAAAGTGAGGCAAATAAATGACTCGCGATACGTGGGCATGAGTATCTACAACGTCGTGGTTCTGTGTTTAATCACTGGACCTGTTACTCTGGTTATTGCGAGTCAGCAAGACGCAGCCTTCGCTTTCGTCTCCCTGGCCATAGTCTTTTGTTGCTTTCTTAGCATGGCTCTGATATTTATCCCAAAGGTAAGTCTTAATTATTCTAGCTTACAATATTATAATTTAATATTTCAGCTATGTTAGGCAAACCAAGCATCAATGTATCTCTAAATCTATACTAATTGTGTATGTAGAAATCAAATCAATGATAAATGTTAAAATTATTTAAAATAGCGCCTTCAAATTTCAAACTAAGCGCAGCTTTTGCTATGGTTATTAAATAAGTAACAAACATACTAAAACATATTTTCTTTCTTAAATGCATATTTGAATAATAATATAAAATAGCCAAATCGATACAAACGGGATCGAATCTACAAACATTGGAAGGTATTATACATTAGAACTATTATACCCTGCAAGTCGGCGCATATAAAAATCTTTAATGACAAAGGATAAATCCGTGAGAATATATTAGTTCATCGTATGATATTAATAATATCAATCAATTGTTTGCTAGTTTGGATATATAACTTAACGTATATATTAATCTACTTGACACAATTTAGCTACGGGTATATTATTATAATAAAAAAGAAAAAGAGTAAAATATGTTTACGTCATATCTCATTAAAATTATCATGTATGCAGTGTAATATCATAAGCATATAAATATTTTAGTTAATAAAATAAATAGTACGTTGTACTTGCTAATGTAATTGCAAACATACAAAGCGTGAAAAGCTCAGGAATCTAGATAAAAACTTGATGGCCGTTTAACATTATTTAATATAAGGGTCTGAATTTTTGCATTTGTTTTTATGTCACTTCAAGATTTTCACTATGGAGTCAAATCTATAACAAGAACGGAAATTAATTTCAGTTCTTGTTATTTAAGTTCAATTGTTACTTTTGAACCTATACTGTTGTTTGCATTTAATAACTTTAACCATAATGATGAATTTCTTAACATTTTCGCAAACCATCATCGTATTAGTAGCACCTTAGTATTAATAGTAGTAATATAGTATACTACTTAATTTACCACATGAAACCGGCGTAAAGTGGGCCAGAGTGACCCATTGCTTATTTCGTTTATTCCTTTCTCGTGAGTATAGTAAAAGGGGACTAAGGGAATTTAATGATCGAGGGATAGGTAGCAGCATTCCTTTAAGCCGTATAGTCCCGGCATAGAATAAGCCACCCCTTCTTTTCCTGTGCGTGTCGTTAGAGGCGACTAAGAGAAGGCGAGGCATGGGCAGCAGCGTCCTTCTTAAAATATCTCCAAAGCCTAACTGCGGTAACTAACCCGCCTGGCAAGCGTGGCAACATCTCTGTATTTTCAATCACATGTTCGGATCCTTTAAAAATTATTGTCACTCGCTTCGCATTTCGGAGAGCACGTAGACGATGTCAACTAAGCCATGTCAGAAGCTTTCTTATATAACGAAAGCCGCCTGGAAAATCTTGACACCAGAAGACGACACTCTCACATGACTAGTAGTGGCACAAATAATATAATACTATACAAAATGATTCATTTCTTAGTATGCCTATCTACGAACCTATATGTAGACTAAAATAAATAATTTTCTTACTACTATTGAAAAAATGTAAATAAAACTATGCCATTTCTGTAAGGAAAACAATAAAGAATATTTACAAAAAATATCAGACTAGATAATTCAAACTGATTTCATTAGGCAGCCCGTGTGATGCCACTAAAAGTGATTTACCACAAAAGTTCCTTCAGGTTAAACGCCTTTGCAGTGTAAGATATAAGACATTTACAGTTGATTTCACATAATTAACGGTTTTGTGAATCACTGGTTTATAGAGATAAGAATATTTCATTTCTTGCGGGTTTTATTATAGGACCCGTTTTTGTACTTTCATAGCCAATATAATAATATTAATTTACGTAATGAAGGTATAAAATATTACCTTTTTAATATTAATAATTAACTTAGATAATAAATCATTAAATAACTATGTGTACAAAAAATAATTTCTAAAGTTATAATAAATAAATATACTTATAAATAAATCAATCATATACCTTTAGGTGATAGAGGTGATCCGCCACCCAACGGAGAGAGCTGAAAGCGGCCGAGGATCTGGTTCTGGATCAGCGCCAGCTGATGAGGAGCGGTATCGGGAGCTCGTGAAGGAGAATGAGGAACTGCAGAAGCTCATCGCACAGGTGCCATTTTATAAAAATAGAACCCCAAACTCTATTATTTTCTATTTGCGAGAAATCTTTTTAGTAGATGACTAGTATCATAGGAGTAACTCGTATAACTTACAAGAGTTACAGCTTACATGTTCAAAATTTCTAGACCAACATTTTCCAGTATGTGTGGATAGATCTATCAGGGCATTCAACTTTATATAAAAAAAAATAATTAACTGCCATTAATAATATTATATCCATAGATTATAATTATATCAGAATAATATTGTGTCATTACACCTACCAATTTAAACCAATTTTTATGAGGGATAGTTTCAAACTTAAAACGGACAAAGAATGAAGTGACGTCATATTAATTCCAGTAAGTAAATTCTACTAATAGCAATATTAAGTACTCAAATTAAATTATGTTTACATGCAGTTTAACAAATGAACTTGATAAAATTCGCTATAGTTAACTCTATATACTGTCCATATTTTCATTAAAACTGCTCGGAAAAATAAAAATGTTGGTACGGTTAGTGGTTACGTAACGTTACACAACTAATTTAATTACGTTCCAGACTCCAGTGTTTCAAAAACATACTTTAAAATTTCCTATTACATTTTTCACATCGTAGATAATATTTCAAACACCATTAGTGAAATTATCATTAAATAATTGTTAAACAACATAATATATATTATACAAGTATTACTACCCTTGTCTAATTTTTATAATTGGGATAAAGCAAGGTAAGAGCACAATATTATTTCTTATTAAAGGTTTAATTTGTCGATTTACGATTAGGTAAATTATAATGTTATTAATACAAAAGCAAAAAAAAAACATCATCGCTACTATTCGACATAAACACCAATAAAAAAACATCAACAATAGCAAATAAGACTACAACAAATTATAGTGGACCTATGATTATAAATATAAGACTCTATCTCAATTAAAATAGCAACGAAACACTGTGTTACTAAGTCGCATTTTTTACACGAACGGTGATTCAATATTTGAAAGCCGATTACAGAATCAATGTTTCACGTACAATTAATGTAAAAAGATTTCAGAATTCATGAATAATTGGGACAAAATTTGTGTACTTCCGTATTTTTAAAGCTCGATTGTTATAATGGTATATTATAAATTTTTATGTGGAACGTGACCTATTAAAAAGACACATACTCGTATATAGATAATATTTTTCTTCTAACATTCTCAATTCCCTAATTTTTTTTGTGTGCATGTTACGCAATATCTTTGCTAATTCTGAACTTAATTTGATTTTGATAAATTTTTTTTTTTACTTTATTTTGTCACTATCGGAGTAACTATTATTATTTTTGCATATACTTATTGTCACGAATGTGTTTATTTATTTATTTAACACAAAAATCCACAGCTCTTAAAAAACAACTTACATGCCAAGTCTCTTATAAATAAGCCAATAACGGATTTTATTTATATAAATGGAAATTATAATTCTAAAGCAAGGTAGGTAAGTTAAAGTGGGTGCAAGTAATGTAAGTGCATGTATGAAAAAAACTATGTATAATAATGACTGTCTATAAGGTCAGGTTAATTAATTGATTGTGTTTGTTTTTATCCTCTAATAGAGATGAATAGCTTTCTATGCTTATGTCATAAATTCATAATATATTGTTGCATTGTTGTGACTTCGGTAATTGACATAACAGCAAGCAAACATTTCGTTTCATTATAATATTTTAACAATGCCTAAAATAATAATTAATAAAAACATCAACATAATACTTTGCTTACATTACAATACTCTGTGGAGGTACATTCTGTTTTACATGCAGCGTTAGCTACATTTACTTTGTCATTTACTCAGGTAACTCGCAAAAGTGTTTTTACGTTAATGAAAAGCTTTCGGGCTCATACCTGTTTTTATAGCCGGAAAATAAATTCTCGTTTCAAAAAGCATTTTTTGTCCATTTTATTTGTACTTTTTATATACCTAAATGCTGATTTTAACTTTTAATAATACTTCTTAGCTCGTAATATCGGGTACCTAATATTTCTTTATACAATTGTCTTCTAAGAAGACCAAGTTTTTTGTTTTAATTTAGAGATCTATTTTTTTGTGTGTAATACATGATATCTTCAAATATGCACATTTTTAAGAACAAAGAGTTTTTATTTATTTAGTATTTATTTTATTTAGTAATTTGTTTTTGTTTCATAATATATAAATTTTACATACAACTCTTAAATAAAAAACGTGGAAAGTTATAATCTACTAGATATAGTCTACTACAATTATATAGGTATAGAGAACAAAATGTATACCATTTTCATATATTTAAGTAATATAAACGGCTTAATAATTCACGTAAGAGAGTGATATTTATAGTTATACCTGCCTATATTGATTAGGTACAAAACCTAATCAATATAGATAGGTAAGTATAAATTGAAAAGAACTTATTTTACTTATTTTTAATAACTGCTTAGTATATCTTTCGTCAGAGAAACATTTTATGTTATTGAGTGAGGCAATAAAAGCATTAGTCTGAATATATACGTAGTATAATATGCTATCTACACATTTTATTCAGACGCTTCGAAGGAAGATTAATGTCACTCTGATAACAGTGTCGTGAACAAGTATCAATGAAATCTAGAAAAATCTAATGGCACAGTAATATCAGATTTTTCATCGCCAATTATCAAAGAAAAAAAGATTACATTTTTCGAGTAAATATATATGTAAATCTTTTTTGTATTTTTACTTTTACCTACTGAGAGCAGTTGTTGGAGGGAACAATAACGAGTACGATAGGTACTCGTTATTATTTCCTCCAAACTTATTTCCTTGTACGTATATATGTTCTAATTTTAGGAAAAAAGGATTTAACTGATCCATCAACGCACAGGCTACACCGCCAGGACTAAAAACTGAAAAATTTTTATATAATATTAGTTTCGGCATGTTAGCATACACTAAAACTTGTAATGAAATATAATAGGCACCAAGTGAGTAAAAAAAACATGTAGAGATAACAATAAAAACAAATGGAAATTATCAGTAACTAAGCTGTTGTAACAACATATATAGTTATTTACCTGAGATAACAAGACACAATAGTTTTTACACCGCACCGGCGTAACTATTATAATATTATCTGTGGTACCGGTCTCAACTTCTATGCCAGTACGATAGAAATGAAAATATATTTACAATCGAGTTTGCATTATACTCTACAACTATGGTAAATATCAAACTTACCTTAAAATCGCAAACTGTGTAATAAAGCGTGTAATATAAGACATTTTGGTATAAACTGCCTCCTATACGTACATAAACAAATATCCTAGTAGGGATGTATATATACTCTTTCGAAAATCAAAATATTAGAATAATAATTTGTTTCCCTTTGTTACACTTTTCTATTACATAAACAATACAAATTAAAAACAAGCGACCCACATATTTGACGTAGTAGCTTGCTGTTCCGTTCTCAACCTCAAATTTTCCGCAGCTGACAAAATATTTGAATGTACAAGAAGAGTTTTTGTTTCAACTTTGGGTTCCATATCATTACTTTACCCGCGGCAAAGGAAAACAAAATTGGATTAATCTGCCTAATATTCGTAACCATAATATTTTTGTTACGCGTAACTCAGATATTGTACATTTACTTAATAAAATCTCACGATATTACTGAAATTATACAACTGAATAAATTAAATATTGTTACCTGAATCTCATTAAAATGTCGGCGTTGTAGAACAACAACGAATCTGCAATATAACATGAATTGCGGATTGTGGACGTTCTACGAAATTATACTTACTCATTATGACAATAAAATTATATTATATAAGATATTTATTTTAAGAAAGTACTTCTTTATACAATACAACGGAAATGTAATATAAAAATGTAGAATAATATAAATATTTTCAGAAAGAAGAGCGGATTCGGGTGCTGAAACAGAAACTAGCAGAGCGAGAAGCGGCGGCCGCAGACGGCGTGACGCAAGGTACGGGAGGCGGCGGGGTTGGGGGCGGCGGCGGCGTGCTGGCCGATCTTGCCACCGCCACCTCTGACTATGGCACCTCCACTAATTATACTCGCTCATCGCGTGCGTCAGTGTCTGATCTTGATTTTTCTGAAAGCTACTTGTAATGCTGTTAAAAAAAATTTATAATCAAACTCCATATTAATTGGTGTGTACGTATTTTACATTATATTCCGCGCTCCTATGTAATTTGAAAATTCTGTTATTTTTTTACCTTTTTTCTTATTAGGAAAACCCAATTTTTAATCAATACTTCCAGTATTTAAGCTCACTGAGCTCAAAATACTTAAATGAAAATTAATATTAAAATTTATTTTAAATAAAAGTTTCTTTCTTCAACCCCAACTAACATTTTTTGGACTTATCATACTTCAGTAAGCTCCAACAAAATATTATTTACTTCCAAAATAGCAAATATTAATGAAATACATTCATTTTACCCCACGTGCGTGATGTGCTGTGTTATTTCTCGAATCACCAAATTTGTTTATACATTAATTTTCATAACAGATATTTTATTACACAATGCTATATTGTTATAGATTCTACTCAAAATTGTTACCGCAATTATTTTAATATTTGAAAACATGTCCAATAATATTTTTTTCTTTTATATACAGATGTGTATGTAACAAAATAATATAGCATTGTGTAATAACATTGTCAACAATAGCATTGTCAAGTAAACACACAGTTAACTCAGTGAAACAAAAAGCCTATAATTTTAACCCCATTGGTGGATAAATATATAGAAAATAAATGTATACTAGGCCTTATATTTTGATTCGCCGCTAATTTCATTCTGTTAGTATTAATTTACTTACAAGTTTTAGTAAGTCTATATGAAAATCGTCATTATGATTGCGAGGATAATTATTTTTATATTTGCATGTACCAGTTACTGTTTCTTACAATTAAATTTATTTATTATGCTAATTAGAATACCTCGAAAATTTTTTGTTGGTTTATGTTAAAAATTACTATTTGAAGTAAATTACTACCAGATTTTAGAAATGCAATTAGCTATTTAATATAGCCTTCATTATAAATGACTTTACAAAACCTGATTTACTAGGTTTTTAAAATTTTATACTACAATTCCATCACTAAAAGTTAAAATTTAATGGCTCTGAATATATAAAAGTAGGCATTGAGATATACTAGTATACAGACAATCAAAACATTGCTATTTTATTTAATCGGTTTAACAAAATAACATGATATGATAAGTTTATTATCTTTATCCATACTATAATAACATTATAAATGTGAAAGTGAGTTTATTTATTTGTTTGTTTGTCATTCCTTAATGCCTTAATAAATTAATCATTTAATATTTAACTTAACTTAATCATTAAAATAAATTCCTATGAAATTTGATAAACCTGTACTTTATGAGATCACGGTTACGTGGTCGTAGTCGGTAGTAAAAACATTATTACATGTATTAACATAGTTATTATTTTTTATTTCAATCTGAATAGAATTGAACAATTAACAGCTGAGATGATGATTGTAATCTTAATTCTTCTGTGCACCGATATAAGGAGTCGATTAATAATTGTTATACATAATAAATTAATTTACTAAAATAGTAAAAATCCCAAGACCTATCCCAATTATGGATCCTTCGACCCGCGATATAAAGAGAGAATGCATTTAGAATAGCTATAAGCAGAGTATGTGCAAGCAGTTTGCATAGCTCTAACTGCTTCCACACCTACGGCCATAGCATTTCACAATGCTGTAAATGCTTTAAATAAATTTAGACAAGTCACATATTACATAATAAAAGCAAAAAAATTAGATTGTAAGAGGAAAAATGAATACCGATAACATCTACCGAATTAGAAAATCCTCGTTATTTATTTCAATATTATACGAGTAGATAGTTATTAAAATGATTATGGATAATAGGTGCATCGTTATCTTCAATTCGTTTCCCGCCCCGCTAATGCCACATAGGTTCTGGCCTAATTCTCTATTCTACCTCACACGTACCTTCTGTTATGATTGCACAATTGTATGTCGTTATGTCTAAATATACCTATAAATTCCTACTAGACTGATTTAGTGTTACTGCTAGCTATATATTATGAGATCTACTCATAAATGTTTCTACGTATTCATTTGTAATAAACAATTATATATATATATATATATATATATATATATATATATATATATATATATATATATATATATATATATATATATATATATATATATATATATATATATATATATATATATATATATATATATATATATATATATAAATGTAGCCTGTACTATCCATCCTAAAATAGTTATAGCTTTAATTTAGTCTGTTTCTATTCTGCAGACATATTATTAAGTATCGCTACAACGATTGATCTTTATGCATTTCAAACCATAATTAATAAAACACAAATGTCTTCAAATTAACACATTTATATTTTAATGGCACCAGTTGAATAAATTTTTAGATAGTATTTAAGCTCAATGTTGCCGTTATCGATTCTTTGAACTACGTCGATTTTGTAGAATAAGTATTTAAAATTATTTGTAACTATATTGATCTTTTTTTCATGAAATTGTTAAATTTATTTATTTTATCCTTAGTGGCAAAGCAGTTTTATGAAATTCATGCAGTCAAATCTCGTTATAACGCACATTCTTATGTGTCGTTTTGTTAATGTGTTTATAAAATGCTATTAATATTAGTTTTAGATGATTTCATCCAAAATACACAAACACAAACAGTACCTACTTTTTTCTTAATCTTAAAGAGTGTAATGGGGAGAAAAAGATCATTGCAACAAAGAAACTAATATTGAAGCCGTGTAACATTTAACTTTGGAAATAATAAACACATGTGTACCTGTGGTTAGTATGTAATGTAAGTAGTTTGAAGATGTTGTCCACCCCGTAGTTACTCCCTATGTAACTAACAACTTATTTGTGTCACTTTCAAGATGTGGAATACGATCGTGTATGCGCATATACCTTTTTTTATGAATATGAATATAGTAAACTGCATGTCTACAATATTAATAGTCTTATATACAGGATAGAAAAACGAACAAAGCATGGAAGAGGAGTACTTTAAATACTGAAGTCAATAATAATAAAAGAGAAATAAAAAAGTTATAATAATTGCCTTATCGTTTGATACAATTTAGATATTATTATTTTTATTTAATAGAAGAATATTTTCTTTGAGTAAAAGCTATTCTTTTCACTTCTTAGAATGGTAAACAGATTGACGTCCTCCTGATAGAATCCTCCGTCGCCTATAGACATGAGCAGCACCATGGACATAACAGTGTATACTGTTTCGCCCATAATACCCCACATGGGTTGCCATTCCTGAGGAACTTGAAACATTTTGGAATATTGTTATTGGAATTGTAGTAATATTATACTCATTAATGTAAATATGTAAAAAAACAGCTAAATGGCTTAGAAATTAATTTGTACACATATGAAAAAGTAGTAATGCCACCAGATCTAATATACTTTGGCAATTAGAATTATGTTGTCTTATATACTCTTCCTCCAGGTCATTTTGTTCTCCTTGAATAAACTCCAAAAAGACATTGTGTGACTCTATCACTCAATTGCCTTTGCTACATTGCTTAAATCTTTCCAAAACTTCAATATAAATGAAGCATGAGCTTCTGTGAACAGTTTTATTAAATCAAAGCATACACAATCGTTTTTCTATGTCTAGCAATGCATGATTTCCTCACACACATACACTGCACTGTACCCCAAAAAATTGTCACTGTTTCCCCTACGTTACTTAAAATTTGTGCTGGCACTCATTGGTAATTAACGAGGTTTTTAATAAACCAAAATAATACAGTGGCCTAGGTACATAATAGTCATTATTATTAAGCATTATAGCGAATACTGACGTCATAAATTTTAATATCAATACTATTATTTATTATTAGAAATAAATAAATAAACAGAGAAAAACTATGATTGTTAATCGATATTTATTGAACACGCTCTACGGTTATAAAATATGAAATCATAACTAAGTAGCTATATTGACAAATATATTCATTGCGTTGGGGAAATCCAATAAAATGCTGAGTAACGAGATTTCCTTGCATGAATGTTATTCCCGTATATATTTTAAAATTGCTTATTTTATTTTACTTTATTAATGTACATTCAGTACAGTAGTACATTCTCGTTTCTTTGATAAAAATTATATAAAAAGCCTTAAGGCTCATTTACGTTAACATCTTAAATATATCAATAATAAACTGACAAGGTTTTTGCCAAAGGCTTGAAACTTCTGTTTTCTTTTTTCCTTTTTTCTCTAAAAATATAGTTGCGTAGCTTAATAAGCAAATAATATGAAAACACTATATAAATAATAGTCTTTAGGAAAGAACCAAAGTCTCTACGAAATAAACACAGTAATGTCTCTGCGTATATCATAATAATAAAACAAACAATATTTACACCAAGCATATCCATTTAATGTAATTTCCCCAGTTTTATTAAAGAAAACATATATTAATAATACGAATAAAACGTTGGATTGCGGTTTGCTTATTATGTTTTAATGGTAATAATATTGTATTGCGTTACGCTTTGATGTTTAATTGTGTTTGCTTGGTTTTGTTAATTATTTAATTTACCTAGCTGTAGATAAGAAAATTAAAGAATCGGGAATAAAGGAATGTATATACCATATTTATTTATCAAATGTTCTTTTTCTCTCACAGATGTTCAGGATGAACACATCTGATCGCCCAAGGCAATCTTCGGTAGACGCGTAGAATAACGTAGTATATAATTTAATGTTGACTAGATTCTGATGAACAGCGCTGTAGTGAGTTTCTTTATATTAACTATAAGAGATAAAAGTGTTCTTATACGATTAGAAAACTTGGTAATTACATAAATATAAAGTAATTCCAAAATGAAAAGTTAGATGTATTTATTTGGTCACGTTATTCAATCTAAAATTTATAAAGTTACCCACCTAAGTGATCTGGCAAAACTAGTTTTGTTTATGTTTAGATATCTATCAGAAATTTATGTATTTTATGTAGGTGTTGGTACGCACATGCAGCTTGAAGTCATGTAGTTATTTTAACTGATGCAAAACTAATGCGAAATATTGTTAAATGTTTATGATTCTCAGTGTTAGTTACTTTATATAATGAATTCTATTTTATGGTTAAATTTGATATTTTTTTGTTAGAAACTGTTATCTTCTTGAAATTAGATAGATTTTGAATGAAATCAATTAATAGAAAATTACATATTAAATAAATTAGCTATATTTCCACTTAGCTGGTGTAAATTGTATGCCTCATACGAATCACTAGCATAGTCTAACAAATTTTCCGACTCCTTGTTATTATTGTGTTATATTCGCATTTTCTTAGCATTTCAAATTAATTCTTTTACATATCACAAACGAACAAAGAAGAAAATGCAAAAATTGTATGCAAATACGAATACCCATGTACATAACTCGATTTATTCATATATGATAATATACAAAATTCTTACTGGACATAAAATTAATTGTGGCTCAATTTCAGTGATATTGGATGCCAAACAATGTGTAAATATACAAACTTTACAATTCATGCAAAATATTTTAATTGTCCATTAACTAAAATAATTTCTATTTAACAAAATTTTTAAAATAGATCCGCCATCTGTTATTAACTATTATACAAAAGATCTAGTTAGATTATACAGATGTTACAGCACTGCCAATTGATTAATGTAATTAAGTAGTTGAAATATTGTACCTACCTAAGTGACAAATTTAGACCTAGACGTTATTACTGTTAGATTATTCAATAGCATTTATTTTCACTATTGGCACATGATTCATTGTAATAAAGACTTCATTTAAGTTACGCAAAGTACATTTAATATCGATCCACACTTGGATATTTAAATTTAAATAATTTTATTTATTGAAATTCAAAACAAATACATCTAAAACTTACATTAAATTATATAACAATGTATTTATTAATTTTGAAGGCACAAATTATATATATATATATATATATATATATATATATATATATATTTGCTCAATGTTTCACTATTTTGAATGCCCGTCCATGATACTCGACATTTACTTTGCATTAATCCAAGTGTGAATCGAAGCCACCCTAATCTAAACAAGTACAAACCAGAGAGCGAATAAGGACACAATGACAAGCTTGTTCCATACGTCATTATATTTCTGTACACAAAATAAACCAGCACACTCGCGGTATAGTTGTTTCCGAATCTGTTTTTGGCTTGTGTTCAAATCGCCTCACGGTTTTATATCTGACTATAAAAGGAAGGCTTCGTCCAGACAACACAGCTTCGACCGGGGCTGCGTGTTGGATAAATTTTAATGTTTTCCCAAAACCTTACGTTTATTTTTAAACCAATATTTTTTGTAATACGTAAAATAAACATACAAATCTTTTAACAACATTAAATGATTAAAGTTAAACAAATCATACATGATTTAGACTGAGTAACTAAGAATATTCTTAAATCTTTACATGATCCGACAATATAGGATTATAAGAGTCATATTCTAGTGTTTCGTATAATTTGCCTTACCTACAATTTCATCCTATTAATATTTATGCACAATCCGTCTTTTCTTTATAATGAGATGGTAAGTCACTATCACTATAAATTATTTCACAACAAAATTATCCAAATCGAGCAGTATATTACAATGTACATATCCATTGAAACCTGCACTAAATAATCGTTAATTTGTTTGTAATTGAAATATATCATTCGCGTTCGGCCTTAGTCAAAGATTTGACTGCATAGAATTAATGATGGACGAAACGATTGTCACAATTATTGTTGTAATAAGTAATACATACTCATTTAAACTGATCTAAAGTTTAAAGTTAAACAATGTATATATATGCGTGGATTCTGGTGCCCGAATTTCCGAATAGTAAAACTACGTAGTGATAGTCAACAGATCCCAAGAACGGTTCGATTGTGGTGACGCGATACTGCCTGATGCGATATTTAACCGCAAACCTCAACAAATGAGAAAGTTGGCAAATTATGGGTATACGATAAGCCTTGGGATCCCACTTTATTTAAATCAATATGTATCAAATTTTCAAACATAAACTAATGTCTTAGATTTTAAGATCATTACAACACGATACAACTTTATTAATTTAGATCAGTGAATGTTAAAAGAGTATGATATAACTTAACGTTGTATATATTGTTTCTTAAAGATTAAAAATACATTATAGAAAATCGTTGACATTCTAAATTTTATTACATTTGAAATCAGAATTGATTTTAAGTTCCCGTCAATGGAGAAGGTTTGAGTTTCGCGCATGTCTTCATTGAGGGGACTGTACATTTAGCTAGTTTATATAGATTGTTAGTAAAATCAAATTTATTGTAAGCTTCATAATTGGTCGGTTACTTCCTTGTGATCTGTACGTTTGGTTGTATTGAACGTTTCACCGAAGTCATCACTGTGTAAATAAAGAGTCATCGAATGATCTGAATGTAAAATATCGTTTTATTATTGATTTTCTCCTTCTCATTTCTCCTATCATATTATATCTATGCCTACATCGATAACTTCGATCATCCTACTAAATAGATAACGCCTGACGTACAAAAATAGAACTTAAATATGACAGACTGTCTGAAAAGAACAACTATTTAATCTCGTAATATTTCGTTTATATTTGTATAAATATATGTAGGACGTATTTAAGAAAAATTACATAAGTAGTATTAGTAGTCCTAATAAGAGCAATAATAGTCAAAAAACTTTTGAATTTTTTGTCAGTCTTTCTATCTGTCTGTATGTTTGTTTGGGTATCATACACCAAACTGTATGTATTTTTCACAATGCAGAAAATTACTTGTGAATGCAATCTACCAGCGATTGCGAAAGAAAATGGTCAAAGATGAGTCGTAAACTCAGACTTTTGGCACATTTACATACACTAAAGAAAATTTGAAGGATATTAGGGAGAACGAGCATTTTCTTACTTAGTTTTATGGAAGTCTTGGTGAGTAAAAATATGCTTACGACTGTTATTCCTGATAAATGTTATTTGACTACTTTAGTACACAGACATCTCTTGACTATAAGATACCATTATGATTAATGTTAGACTCGACATGCCACATAAGAGGTATGTTTGTAAATAATACTAATATTTGATATGTTTAAATACTTATTATAAATTCATTATATTTCTGTATATAATGTCGAAGCGTACTACAATTTGCGTAGTTTTTGATTCCAAAGAATTTATGGTTAAGAAAAATATAAGGAATTAAATATTTTGCTCCATAAAAAATAACAGTTAATATAATCATCATTATTAATATGTAACTAACATAAATAAATAATAATTATTACTATCTACTAATACAGGAGTAAGTCCTGTCATTATATAAAAAATATCAGGATCGGATTAGAATTAGCAAAGATTAACCTTATATAAAAAGATAGAGGCGAATTAGGAACTTCTTTCTTTTTGAAGTCATTTAAAACAAAAAGTCACTATTCCGAGAGAACTCAGTACTACCTATTTCAATAACAGCCGTTTCAATTTTAATAGGTACTCCAATACTCCATCACAAAGTTCTCAAAGTGTTGTATATAAATCTATACCTAATCTATTTTAATTAAAATTAATAAACATCTCGAGATATTCTAGAAATACCACTAAACGTCCTTTATTCAGAATGTCAAAAGTAATATTAACGTAGCTGATATTTACTGCGGATAATTGGAGAATATATAAAAACAACATTCCAACCCCAACAACACATAACAACTCAAATATTCATGAACTTTTCTGCCTCATGATTTACATTCTAAGTTTTCGTGCGAGGAATTCACGCTCCCAAAAACGAGAATAGCGGTATGATTCTGATTTCCCCCTGCGTACGCACTACTTGCATAATCAAAGTGCGGTATGAAATATAACAGAGGCTGTCAAATTCTGACATTGTAAATACACCTTAACAACTTCAACCCTTGTCATTTCGACCCTCAGTGATACCGTTCATATTTCAGTGAGGAGGTATACATATTTTATTAGTACTTATTACAGTTATGTCTTACAACTACGCGTATCTAACAGAAAAATAAGGGCATGTACATTAATAATTAATAAAGTGTTTATTCATGTTTCTGGTATATTTTGAAATCGGTATTAGAATTTATATATCAAGCCTTATTTCTTCAAGACACTAATTACATTATACCTGAACTTTAACTTAACGTACATTAACCTAATAATGTAATTGCTTAGACAGAACATAATAAGCCAATTAAAATTTCTTGTTTACTCCCACTAAACTACATAATATTATAAATGATAAAATTTGTATGTTTGTATATTACTCAATCATGAATAGATTTTAATGAAATTCAATACACAGAAAAATTATATTAAGCACGGTATATTTTTATCCTACTTAATTTCACTACCCTAAGCGGTAACAACTCAGTCATAAGACGCTTGGCTATGGTTTCGGAATCCCTAGAACGAATCCTAGCCCTAAACCACTAAATTTTTTAATTCATAGTGTTCCGAGAGCACGTAAAATCGTGTCCAGCAAACCAATCCAGAAAGCACATGCATATTGATAATAGTACCTGAATGACCGAACTTTACTGGGTTTTGTTTTTAGTGAAATCCGCCATCTATTGTCAAATACCAAATACTCATTGGCTTCATGTTGCTTAACAACACCATCTATTGTCATGTAGTTTTAGTGTTGCTGTATCGATAAAACAATTAGTTGCAAGTCGATAAAGAGTTAATAACTTGACTTTTATCTTGTACCGAATTATCGCCAATAGGATAGTTTCTTCGTGTTTTTTTTTTTTTTTAATATTTAGATACGAATTAGATGCTTTGACAAAGGACTTAGATGCTTTTACTAAACTACCTAGATTCAAACTTAGTTCAAGTGACCTTACCCTTTGATTAGCGTCAATTCCTTTTATAACATACTGAGATCACTCAGTTCCCTAAAGCATGCTAAAGTTACCTGAGATTACATCGTAAATGTTATAAGAACTAAGGGTTTCGATCTTGAATCTTCCGATAGACATTTCAATCTTGAAAATGTCTCTTTAACGATACGAGAAATTATCTTTTGCGTAGTATATTTAATAAAACAAAAATATTTAATTCTAAAATTAAAGTCTTACGATTGTGAAATTAAATCTTTTACTTATTAAATATTTTTAAAAGCGACAACGACAAAACTATTCTGTTTCTGTTTTTAGGAGCAGACACCAACAACCTTTTTTCATCTTTCTACCTCCAATTAAAATTATTAATTGCCACATACAAGAATAATATGTTTTTATGAATTATCGAGAAGGTTGCCATGCAATTATTACATCTAAAGTGAACATATATATAAATAAATAAATCTAAATCTCGGAAATGGCTCCAACGATTTTCATGAAATTTAGTATGCGGGGGGTTTCGGGGGCAATTAATCAATCAAGCTAGGTTAAATTTTTGGTAAACGTCATTTTATTCATGTTTTCAAGCAATGAAAAACTGTTGCAATATCATTAGAATATGAAGGTATATTTTGCCACAACCTACAAGGTTAAAATAGCTCAGGTGGGAAATCGAGCGGTTCCGAAACCAGAATACCCCGGTTGGATTCCAGATGATTTTTCCCCTCCTTTTTTTATCAAGTTCCTTCTTTTGTAAGAAAAACTATTTATTTATAAACTATTTAAAAAACTGTTTATTATTGGAATTCCTTTGAAAAAAAAATTTAAAACAACTTGTCGGTTTTCGCATTCTTGGATCTATATAAAAAACTTGTCGTACATACAGTCCACTTATATATATATATATATATTATACATAAGTGTACATATATATTATACTTATATATATGTTTATATTCAGCTAAAATAATATATAACACAATTATGTACCTATTAGGTAGATAGATTCCTGAATTAGTATCTAAACATTAACTGCTGTAGTGTTACTATAGGTATTGTTCCAAATATCCCCGAGTCATGAATTTACTTAAATAATAGTTTGCTCACGTGTCGACACCAGGCAACCACGGCCCGATACAAAGGTCCTTTGCTATGTTCTAACATAACAATAGATGGTTACACAAGACATTAGAAGTCTAGAATTGTTAAGTTATATCAAACAATATTAAATTAAGGATGTTGTTCTTGTTCGAACTGGAAAATATTTTTTTGACAGACTATGGTCGCCATATTTATTTTATTTTACTATCGCCCTGCACTCTATCAAAGTATATATATATATATATATATATATATATATATATATATATATATACTGTTGATAGACTCTGCACCTGGTACAAGGCACGAACTACCCTAGCCTGGCTTGAAATATATATATATATATAACAGTATTTATGGCCGAACTAATTATATATTATATATATATTTAATCCAGACTGAAAATCAGATAATAGGTAAATTATTAAAAAAACTCCTCTTTTAAAACTATAAATATTTATTAAGCAATCAATATGCACACGACTGTCATCCTGAATCAAATGGAGTAATCAGAGCGATTAATTGACTCTTGCTATTGTAGTGAACTTGAATAACAAGAGTCAAGTTTAGTGAAGTGACATAATTATATATGTCTTTTCCAAGTCTCTGTAACTGCAACCATCACGCTTAGTCACCACTCTTAGATATTTGTTAAATTTTAAGATTTAGCTACAAAGTGAGGATTGCTTACAAGATTGTTAGTGTGACAATGAAAATGAAAGGAAAGATATTACCCCTTTTTTAAATAAAATATTTAAATATTCATGAAACATACATTAGGCTGGACACAAACTGGGTTTGCTCTCTTAAACGTTAAAATGCGGATGCCTTAATTCAGTGGGTGAAGGGACATTGTCCTCAGTTGCTGCCAGCATACCAACTAGAACTAGGTACGCCAGAATACACTCGACCTCATATAAATAAAAAACATAACATTTTTCAAGAATAATTGCAGGTTTATAAATAATAGTTAAGGTGAAACAGTACGAAAACCGGCTGTATCGATAAACAATCTCTTCTAGATAACTTTTAAATAAAAAGCATTTACAAAAAGAACGGGTAAGTAAATATGCGTACATAGATATGTATAAATATGCACATGCTTAATGACATATATCTAGCTCAATATAATAAAGAAGAAAATGTATGAGAGAAAAAAATAAATATAAAAAATCTTTTTTAATTAGGCCACGAATTGTTTTAAAGTTTTTATGTCATGTAGATATAAAATAATATGAACAATACCTACAAATGACGAAAATGCTGCTGTTGATTGCCCTTTTGTCCAATTTCCGTGCATTTCTGACACATGTCGCTCGCCTGATCTAATAATACGAACCTAATAATGGCTCTATAGGGCTCTGATTTCTAATTTGCATACATAAGACTAATCTATGCTAATAGTTTTAGCTCATTAGCTTTTACCATTATGATACTGACGTACATAGCCCTGAGTTCGTAT